TATAGATGTCAGTTTTGTGTTGGCCGTTTAATTCATCTGAACAACTTGCTTCACTACTTTTGATGGAGATGTACTCTGGGAATGATGTGGGAAAGGGAAACTTGGTCAGGTGAGAAAATATCCTCCTGTGCTTTTTATTAACCCTGCCAATATCTTGGTAACGAAACATACTAGACAAAAACACAGGAGTCCATGAGAAGGGGAAAATAGGAACCATTCTAAGTTTCTTTTTCTTTTCCTGAATTCTTTATGATGGAGAATACTGTATCATCATTTCCAAACATGGCAATACATTTCACTTAAACTATTTCAATTTTTTAAACAGAAAAAATATTGAGGTCTAAGGTTAAAGAAAAATCTCCCTTTGACTCCAAACACCCCTGGTTTATTTAAGATTCAATCTTCTCTATCTCATCCATGTCATCTGGGTCCAACTGCTTAATGTTGGTCTCTAAGAAAAAAAAAAAGAGACCGAGTAAAGAGTTACATTCTGGTCTGCAAACAGCACTCAACTAGCACACCCTCTGCTTCAGCAGCAGAGCACACATTTAGTAGGGCCACTCACAGCAGGGACATAGAGGTCGGTTAGATTTTGAAGCTGTCTTAGGGAGAGTGGTAGATTTAGAAAGATCTTTAGAACCTGAAGGATATTTCACAAAAAAGTGAGACAAATATGGCACAACATAGTTGGTAGTGTCTGTCAAATGTTCTACATTAGTTAATATTACAATTTAGATGTTGACGTTCGCTATTTGTAATAATTCCTGTAGAATGCACTTAATAGTGCCCCTGAAACAATACTTCTGCTTAGTTATAACAACTGCCATTGAACAGACTCTATGAAATGACTGAATAATGGATGGTGGCCCAGATTCCAGGTAAGTGTTATGGCTGCGCCAGCTACAGCAGACTCAGTGGTTCGTAGCTGTGAATCTGGTGTTTGCTGTGCAGCAACTTGGTCACTTTAGGTGCTTCCTGGTTCCTATGGCTACTAAAAAAGTCAGAAACCTTAATGTGTGTTTGGTTTTTGCTCTGCTTATTTTAACTCAACTCATGTAATTAAATGGAAACCCTCAATATATTTCACTGAGGCACTGATAACTGAGGCTATAACTTGATTAGCATATTTCTAATCACATCAGGGGCTGTACCAACTATACATTCTTCTGTATTTGATTTATGCACGTGTATGTAAGTAACCAAGTCAATAACATTGATGCAAACACCAACATAACTATTGGAACTGCTGGCAGTCTAGGAAGAACTTCCTGTGAAGATCATTCCTCTAGGTTGGGGCATGGCACAGTGGCAGAAGTGCATGAGGGAGCTGTGCTGTTGCTGTCCATGCTACAATAGTCTTGCGGACAGAAGATCCCAGTCTTTAGGGATGTCAGTCGCCACCATCTACCGAACTGAGGTATTGCTACAATAATTGGAATGGGTAATGGTGTTTGTATTCTCAAAAGGGATACGGACCAATTCTGGTTAGGAGCCATTCTGCAAAACGTTACAGTATATTTTGTTGCACACACGTAACCTTATTTTTGGACGGAAATATCCGACTAAGTGTTCAGTATCGTATTTCCAGTCAAAGTGCTTCAATTGATAGTCAAATAAACTTTGAGAAGCACAATGTAAACGGGATTAAGGCAGCTGCCAACATGAGGCTACTATACAAGCATGATGCACATTGGGAGCTTCTCATAAGTTAAAAACAGCAGAGGCGGTTAGATTGATAGATCCAATCACATCCCTTGTTACCTTACTTCACCAACCCTACCTACTCTGATTGGATGTTGTGGAGATTAGGCAATGTTTGGAAACACTTAGGCCTGGTCTACACTGGGGGGAGCGGGAGGGATCGACCTAAGATACGCAACTTCAGCTACCAGAATAGCGTAGTTGAAGTCGACGTATCTTAGGTCGACTTACCTCGCGTCCTCACGGCGCGGGGTTGACTGCCACCGCTCCCCCGTCGACTCTGCTTCCGCAGCTCGTCGCGGTGGAGTACAGGAGTCGACGGCAGAGCGATCGGGGATCCATTTATCGCATCTACACTAGACGTGAGAAATCGATCCCCGATCGCTCAATCACTACCCGCCAATCTGATGGGTAGTGTAGACGTACCCTTAGAAAATGAAGAGTTCCACATACAAAGCATTATTCTTGTTAAATAATTGACTGTTTTCTCAATCTCAAAGTTACGCTCAGGTTTACAGCATTAAAGCGGCTAAAAAGAAGAAAAGTCAGATTATCCTACGTTAATTCCACTCCGCTTTTAATACCATAGGAATCCACAGCAAGGCTCATTTTGCTAACTCCACGCATGACTAGACTTGGACATACAAGCACTTCCTGAAAACACAATGCCTTTTTACAAGGCAGGGATAATTTGGACCATTTTCTTGCTTCCTGTCTCAGAAAAATATACATTTGGACTGAAACCATCCAAAACCAGTATGAAAATGTCAAACAGGTTAAATGAGCATTTGATGACATTGCCCTTTGCCATGTCACGAGTTCTAACCACAGTAACAGCTTCGAATCGTTCACATCGAGAAGCTGTGCTAAGCAAGCAGGCGAGCAACAAAGCACAGTGTGAGAACATTCCTAGTTGGCAGTACACAGGCAGAAGACAACTTCCCCTCTTACATCAAACAGTTTTTTCCCTTTAACGTGGATAAGATTTGTGTGTCAAAGCTGGAAGTGGCCCTTGTAGATTGTGGCGGAGATGCTGGATGACCCATTCTTGGGCTGCTTCTGCATAAGCATCTCAAGCATTCAGTCCAATTTTCTTTGTGAACACAGTGGCGGCATCTCAAGTTGCCCAAGGAGAGGATTCCCCCAACCAGCTGATTCTTTGGATATATTCTTCATAGGCAGATTGGATTTCCTGAGACTTTTGCTCTGATTCTTGCCTCATTGGAGCCCCTGAAATAACTTCCCCCTGTCCCTTTAGAATAAGAACTCCATTATCTTCTCCCCTCTTCCAAACTGACCACACCTGGCTCCCTTAGGCATTCACAAGAACCCTCTAATGCTGCAGTTTGTTGCCCATCCCTGAATTTTCTGCAGTTTATCAAACCCTTCTAGTCTGAGGAGTCCAAAAAACTGAACACAGAACTTTAGCTGGAGTGTTACAAAGCAGCATACTGAATCGCAGATGGCATGGGATGGTGGAGCCCTGACCCCTCCATCTCTTCAATGGAGTCTCTTACCATTACCACTCCCATCCGCTTTGCACCTCCAGTTCATTCTGCACCTGCTGCCTCTCCCGGCTGTACTCCACTAGTACTGAAGCAATAGCTCATGTTGATAATGTTCCATGTGGGTTCTGCTCTTTCTCCCCAATCCAACTTTACTCCCATCACTTCCTGAGGCATCCTTACTTTGGCTTGGCATTTCTAGACCCACTCTAGCTCCCCCCTTCCTTACTATAATTTCCCCAAAGACATCTTCAGTGAAGAGCCTCTCTTTCACCTGGGAAAGGCTACACACAGTTGTATGTTTCCTCCCCCTTTCCATCCTCAGCAACACAGGATTCCCTCTGAGGTCTCTTATAATTCATGACACTTCCCGCCCTACCTCCTTAGCACTTGGCTTGCTTTCTACATCAGGTGAGGGAGCCAGGGCCTGCCCTAGTGACTGAGATGTGTAAATCTAATTTGGGAAAGTGCCCCCTAGAGGGGGGAAGTGAGGTGTGTTTAGTCCCTGTTTTTGTTCTAAACAATAAGTGTTCTCATTTACTATGGTATTGCTCACACACGCCTCGTACATTCTAAACAGTATGTAATAACAGAATTATAACAGGGGCTAGCAGTAACACCTATTAAGGTTGCACAACACTTCCCATTATAAGACCCTGTTTTCAGTTGCTTGTAACTTCGGCAGCCTAGACACTTGGGATGAAGTTTTCCATGGCTGATGTCTGCCTCGGGCTGACTTTTTACTGTTATTGTGTTTGAAATGTCAGCCAAAGAAGTTCAGCTGCTTCCAGGAAAAGGTTAGGGAAAATACTTGTTGCTCACCTTAAAAAATTCTGGTGCCCTTATCTTTGAACTACTTTAACACCCCCATGCTTTGGACCAGGGACTTGAATTCTGAAAGGGGATGACCTTTGTGTTAGGGAATGTGCCTTTTGCCATCCCCATGAAAATCCGCCCAAGTTTTACATCTCTGAAAAATCACTTTGCAGAAGTCTACTGAGCATGTGCAATTTTAACAACAAAATTCACCAAAGAATCTGTCCACACTGGGCATGCTCCAGCTGAACCTGAGTAGGACTTTCCCTTCAATTGCAGTTCTGAGCTGGGCACCTAGTAGGACGACGCCCTCCTAAAATCTCAATGACCCCCCTGCTGGGCCCAGGCAGCACGGAAGAGGAAGCTGCTGGATTCCAACGCAGAGGGGACAAGAGCCAGATCTGGGGGGCAAATAGATAGGGATAAGGGCAAGAAGAATGGCAAGCAATGGGGAGGACACAAATCTGAAGAGAAGACCAGCGTGCAAAAGCAGCACTGAGCCTGGATGGGCAAAGAGACTTAGATAGGGAGTCTGGGGTTGGGGGAGACAGATTGGACAAGGAGTTCGGGGAGTGTGATCAGGACTGGGAACAAGCAAGGGTAGGGATGGGGGAGCACTACTGGAAGTCAGGCTGGGGGAGAAAGATCACATGACGATCTGGGAGGGAGGGAATTGGGACAGGCTGAGCAAGAGGATTGGGAATTGGGAGGGGTGAGACTAGGATTGCTATGCAAGGGACTGGTACTGAGATGAGAAACCCAAGGAATGAGACTAGGAGAAGAGACAGGACTTGGCAGGGAAAGGTTTGAAAGGATGGGGCAGATGGGGCCAAGCTTGGATGGGGCCAATAGGCAGATGAGGCTGTGCCAACTGGAGCACACACCAGAGCCTGGAATGGACCCAAGATTCCGCATGATGGAATTTGTTTTTCAGTTTCCGTTTTCAAAAACCCAGGAAATTATACAAAAACCTACGTTAAAAAGGATGTTAAGGCAGCAAAATCAAACACTCAAAAGTTAGGAAATGCCAGAATTAAGGTTGCTTATGCAACCTTAATTCAACCCACTTGCGCAAATGCACTATGATACAGTCTTTATTTACATGATCACATACTCTTTTTCCATGAGACCCCTGCCTCGTTCAGTGCACAGGAGGGACCTGCTCGGGGGATGGATGAGGGTTGTGTACTAAAGCGGACTTATCTGTGGGACCCCTGCTTCATTTGCTGAAAGTATGTAATATCTGAGGCAGTTGGACTGCAGGAAGATAAAGGATGGTCTCATGCAGATGAATGTTGCCCTAGAGCAATGGTTTTCAAACTGTGGGTCGCGACCCAGCTAAGTCAGGCTAGTTCCTACCTGTTCTGACATCATGCTGTGCCCCAGAAGCAGCCAGCAGCAGGTCCGGCTCCTAGGTGGGGCCACAGGTTCTCGGCCAATGGGAACTCGGGGGGCGGTGCCTGCAGGCGAGAGCCGCACGGAGCCACTTGCGTGCCTCCACCTAGGAGCTGGATCTGCTGCTGGCCGCTTCTTGGGGGCAGTGGGGTCTGCGGTTCCAGGATAGGCAGGAAGCCTGCCTTAGCACCACCACTGTGCCGCTGACCGGGAGCCCCACAAGGTAAGTCCATGCTCCAACTCCGCGCCCCAATCCCCTGCCCCAGCCTT